CTCATTACATATAATGCTTGCTAATGGTTTTAGATAGGTGCTGCTTATCATTTTAAGGAAAACTCCATTTATTCCTATACTCTACTGTTCTTAATAGAAATGGGTGCTGTATTTTGTCAAAAGCTTTTCCTGCATCTATTGAGATAATATATGATTTCTGTTAGTTTTGTTATTGACGTGGTCTATTATGCTGATAGTTTAATATGAAATTAGCCTTACATTCCTGGTGTAAATCCCACTTGGTTGTAGTGTATTATCCTCATGATAAATTGCTGCAATCTCTTTGCTAATATTTTATTTAAAATTTTGCATCAGTATTCATTAAGGAATTTGGTCTATAATTTTCTTTCTCTGTTTTGGCTTTTTCTGGTTTAGGTATCAGCACCATATTTGTGTCATAATAGGAATTTAGTAGGACTCCTTCTTTGTCTATAAAACTGGAATTTTTTGAAAACGTTTTGTTGTTGGGGAAAAGATGATTTCAGCCGGTTGAGCTGGTTGACTGACAAGACTTTCTAACATTCAAACCTTAGTATTCTGGATTTTTAAGAACATAGCTCAAGCTAGACAGTTTTTTCCTTTCCTTTTCTTCTACCCCTTTTATTTGTTTGTTTTTAAAGCAGATATGGGTAAAGGAGTCACTTATTTATAAGTCTCTTGACTATCCCTGCTTCCAACCACTGCCTTTGCCAATCTTTCACACAAGTACCAGAGCAATTTTAATATATGTACACCACCCTCTTAAAAAACTGTCTCTTCTTATTCCCTGTAGGATAAAATACATCTTCTTTAGCTTGACATTCAAGACTCTTTTGCAATCTGGCCAAAATTGTTCTAGTCTTACTTGAATGAATGAATGAAACATGCATTTTATTAAGTGCTTTCTCTGACCAGTGAACTGATATAAACCCTGCGAATACAAATAGAAAAGTAGGCTAGTCCCTGCCCTCCGGGATTCACGTTCTAATGGGGGGAGACGTAGCATATGGAAGCTCCACATTGGATTGTCAGGTCCCTGGGTTCTTAAAGTACAGTAAAGGAAGTGGGTGTACATTTTCTTTCTTTTCTTTAATGTTATTTTCACTAATAAAATCATATCAAGACTTGGTAGTTGTGACTGCAGCACCTAAAGAAACAATTAACCAACCTATACATTGCTTCTAGGGATGATGGCTGGTATGGGCTGGGTCTCCCTTTTTTCATTGTTTCAGTCGTGTCTGACTCTCCATGACCCCTTCTGGTATTTTCTGGGCAAAGATACTGGAGTGGTTTGCCTTTTCCTTCTCCAGCTTATTTTACAGTTAAGGAACTGAGGCAAACAGGGTTAATTGACTTGCCCAACCTCAAACAGCTAGTAAGTGTGTGAGACCAGACTTGAACTCACATCCTTCTGACTCCAGGCCCCATGCTCTATCCATTGTACCACCTAGTTGCCCATAGAGCCTCTCCTCATTGATGATTCATTTAACAGTATTGCTCTTTATTCTTTTTTAGTAGCTTCCTCCTTCCATATATAGTATGCTGTCTTCTTTGCCTAGAATTGACTCCTCCCTCTCCCTTTTTCTCCAATAGGCGGGGGTGGAGACATACCCTTTATCCATCAAGGCTCAGTACAGTACCCTTTCATGAAGCTCTTTTTTCTTAGTTCTCCCCTGATTCTCACTCCCCTTCTACCCTCTGCATCAAACTGTTTAGTCCAGTACTGAGATGATTTGATTGTATTCTCTTTGGGGAGATTTGAGTGCCAAAGGAAGATGCTATAGATGGTGTTCTCGAAATGCAAAATGAATGGGGTAGTGAAAAATCCCAGGTTAATAGTGATTCCAGTAGTCTTCTGTTTGGCCTGGTTTTTCCAAGGCTTTCTTTTTAGGAAAAGAAAAGTGAAATCATTCTGAGAAGCTATAACAAAGCTGTCTTTTGTATATGTATTTTGTAAACTTTTCTTGCTCTGCTTCATTGGACTATAATATACGGAGGTTCAGTGAAATGAGCTTGCAATTAATATGGAAAATGAATAGCTAAGCTATAAATGGGCTCACTGGGAGAGTTGTGGAGCCCATGGAGAGAACATTAATATGTTACCATGTTATTGGTGCTAATCACTTAAAATGTGCTTCTTTATTAGTAGCTTTAATGAGAGCCACTTAAACTGTGCATTAAAAAGAGAAACTGCAGAGAAGGACGACGGACTGGGTGGCAGGCAGTCATAATTCTAATTGAAATGCTTTTAGTATGAAAAAAACTGTTGGGATTCAGTAATCCTTCGCCCTTTCTAAAACATCCACATTATATCCCATCAATCTGCTTGATTTTCCAAGATTGAAAGTATTCTCCTTCTCATACATACACACACACCCACTTTTTCCTTTTCATTACCTAATTTGGATTGATTTAAAGCCTCCCCCAGTGTACATGTACTGCTTTTGAGACCAGTGCTCTGCTCTTGCCTAGAAACCACTCTTGGTGGTGGTAGTCATGCTGGTATTGCACCTAGTGGACCATGGGCTTTTGTGGGTGAGCTTATTCTAACCCTAAGCCCATGGCAGTGCTGTGAGTAGACATAATGTCAAGTAGAAACATAATGTTAAAAGAGGGTGGCTTGGATTCTCAATAAAGAAAACCAGGGCACATAGAAAAGCTTTCTCTCCTCGCCTCACACCCTCACCTCTCTCTGCAATGATTCTAGGGTCTCTCTAAGAACTTTGATATTTTAAGCTGGGAGCAGAAATGGGATGGGGAGATAGGAATATTTCTGTTACTTAAAGGAATAGTCTTGTGATCTTCTATTGGCAAGTTGTTTTGCTGGCAGAAGAGTAGCATAAGGGCAGGGATTGAAAGGAATAATGAGAAAGTTGCAAGAACCTTGTGATAAAATTATACTCTGCTTACTACTTACTACTACCTTAAGGCAACTCCAAGGTAGTGGTTTAGAGAAGAGAAAGATAGACTAGTGCAGATTGGGAAATTTATATTCTTTCAGCATTCAAGTTTCGGAAAGCCCTTAGCTCTCATATAGTATATCTCCCCACCCTCTCCACCTTTCCCCATCCCATGGAGCTTCTTCTCCATCAGGCACCATATAGAGTCAATGTATTTTAGGTACCCAGTTGTATAATAAAGAAAGAATCTTCTTAGTGGCAACTAGGTGGCACTGTGGAGAAAGTACTGGGCCAGGAGTCAGAAAGTCCTAAGTTCAAATGTGGCCTTAGCTGTGGGACCCAATGCAAAGCATTTTACTTGTGTTTACCTCAGTTTCCTCATCTGTAAAATGAGGATAACAACAGCATCTGCCTTGGAAGGTTGTTGTGAAGATCAAATGAGATTTGTTTAGCCCAGTGCCAGCACTATATAAATGTTTATTCCCTCCCCTTTCCTTGGTATGTGATTTTTTTGGGGGGGGGTGGGGAGAGGCTATTGAACATGAATTTAACTTGAAAAAGCTCTGAAATCCAAAAAAATTCTAGTATTGTTGCCCATAGCATCATTAGTACCCTGTTGATTCAAATATAGAAGACACCCTCCAAATTACTTCTCTTGAAGAGGGAAATATGTATAGATACACACTTAAAAATAACACAATTTATAGGTCATACTTAGTCTCCATGTAAGTTCAATTTGGAGGAAAAATACAATTTATATTCAGACCAATGTGGTACACTGTAAACAAACCTCACCATAATATTGTGAACCCCCAATTATTACTTTTTAATGTTTTTGCAGAACCAGTGGCTAATGTACTTTTACACATGTGAAGGGGAAGACCCATGTTTGACTATATCTTTCTCATGTCCTAGTTATTCACATTTGTTGAATAAGTTCAAATTTAGTAAACATTTATTTAAAGTCTCTATGGTCAAGATGCTTTGTTTACTGCTGGTGAGAGCAAAGTGATACAAAAAAGACCCTTCTAGCAATGAGCTTATAATCTAATTTGAAGTTTTAGAAACAGGTAAGTAAATATGATAGAAAAAGAAAATGTGTTAATTACAAGCAAAGTAGATTAGAAGACAGAAAAATCTTGTTAAAGATGAAGTCCATGGTCAGAGTTGTACGTCAACAATCGGAGATGGAAAGACACTGTCCCAGAAAAGGGAGGTTGTGTCAATGTAGGGGAAGCAACATGATAACATTGTTATTGTAATAATTTTCAGTTTAAGGGTCAGCTCCTATGGCAAGAAACTAGGAGAAACCTGGGTTCAAATCCTAATTCTTTAAACCTGTTTCCTCTTCTGTAAAATGGGGATATTAATGTTTATTGTACCTACATAATAGGGTTGTTGGGAGGATCCTTCAAATTAGGATATGTAAAGTACTTGGAACCAAAGTGCCATATAAATATCAGCTATATATCAATAGACTAAAGGGGGTGAAATAATAATGGCAGGAGGAAAGAGACAAAGAATATTATAGTTTGGCTGAAAAACAGTACATGAAGGGGAAGAAATATAAAGTATGCCAAAATGAATGTATATAGGCAATGGCCAGTTGGTTTTTATTTGTTATCATATTATCTGTTATTGTGATTAATCATCTGACTTACTGGGGTGATAGACTATAGCGTGCAATAGCAGCAACCTTTTATTGGCAACTTCCAGGCAGTTGGGAGACTCTTGGAAGAGGAGATTATGGATTTAAGGAAAAACACCGGAATGCCAATAAAATCTCCTCTCCTCTCCCTTCTTAGTAATATGGAATTCTAGAGAAGAAAAGTTGATTTCCCGCACCCCCTGCCGCCCCCCCCAACCCAAGAACTATTTCCAGGTAGTTGACTCTCTCTTCCAAAATGTAAATGAGAAGTCTTTTAAATATCCCACTTTTCTTTTTCATCATCCCTGTCCTAAAGAGAAGACTGAAAATGGGTTTATGGTCTTATTCCTCTTATTCAAGAGCTTCTCCCTACTTCTGTTTATTTATGACTTTTGAATAAGGGTTATGAATTAATCCTGGTTAGGACAGCTGACTACACTGATGATGCCTTCTGCTTTTGCTTTCTCCCCCAGGGTTTTTCCCTGGCAGTTCTCAGGGATGTGATGCCTTTCTCCGTCACAAGATGACTCTCATCTCTCCCTCCATTTTGAAGAAATACAGCATCCCATTTGATCGGGTATGTATATACAAAATTTAACCAAGAGTATACAGAATGGTGTTGGGATCTGGGAGATGCTTGCTTTCAGGTCACTGATTTCATTTAGAGAAACTTTTTTCCCCCTTTCTGTAATGGGAGGTAGTTTGCTTTTTCAGTACTAATACATAAACAGTTTGCTGTGGTAAGGCCAATTCCAGTGCTGAAAAATCATTTTCATTTTGTCTTTGTATCTCTAATACATACTGTACTATATTGAACTTCATATATAAACTTACCAAATGCTTATTGGATTGAATTGAATTGAAATTGCTAGCTCTTGTCTTCCTCTTGTAGATATGATCCCAGGATTTGGACTGTCACATCATCTGTCACAATTTTATTTGATTAGTCAATGTGTTACTCACTGAGAGAATGGGAATATACTTCAAGTGTAGTACAGCTTTATTAATCTTTACAGGGACTTGTAAGTCCCACCTCCAAGTGTTGTTGTTTGTCCTTCATTTTTGAAGAGAACCCATGACATATGAGTGACATTATTGATTTGTTCATGAATTGGATTAGAGTTGCTCAGAGTCATCATCCCCACTCCACTCTCCATGAGTCTGAAGTCCAGAAGCAGGACAAAAGTCAAGACAACTGGCGACGGCCCGAGATGCAGTGTCTGACCTTGGCATTTTTGTTGCCTGACCAAGCTTTAAGCACTCCACAGTGCTCTGCTTAAGCCACCTTTATGACCATTGGAATGAATTGTTCTTATCCAACTATTCATCTTCACTTGCTCAGGGTAGACATCCCCCTGACCTCACCAACAGGTTTGAGGCCTGTCAGTTACCCTCAGTCTGGTTTAGCCCATTTGCCAAGATGGGTTACTGGGGTGTGGCTGTTGTGCATGCTGTAGCTTCTTGGAGCCACAGGTGAGAGCTGCGAAAGAGCAGCCCTGACATCAGAGGTGCTGATCCTACACCCAGAGGTGTGTACACTTGGCTTCTTATCTTTTCCTCTGTCCAGTCCCTTTTGTCTCTGTTGATCCCCAGCGAGATCAATTCTCTTTATATGTTTGAGTGTCAAATTCTTTGGCAAAAGTCTTGAAGCAGTCACTGCATATGTATTAGTTCTCTAGATGCTATATTTCAAGGTCTCCTTAGGCTCCTTTTTATAATTATTTGGCTCCCAGCTATTTCAGGTATACTCCTTATCTTGTGCTTTTGTTATACTTCCAGTGAAAACCCCCTGTGCTGCAGTGAGGTGTGTCCTTTCCCATGTCTCGAGGGGTCTGGTGTCTTGGGATTAAGTTGACTTTATGAATTTATCTAAAAGTTAAGTAAGAAATAGTTCTTAGTTCCAGAAAAGTGACAGAAGAACAAAAAGACAGGTGCTGAACCTGTGAATTCGTTGGCATAAAGGATTCCCAAGTGAGGAAACTTCTAACAAATCAGGTCACTATCTTTTCTGCAACTTCCTGTCTTTACAGCCACCTCTCTACCCCACAATGCCATGTTGCCTCCCAGAATATATTCTGGTAGAGGGAAGACTTCAGAGACAGAAGACCTGGCCTCTGACACATAACCTCTCAGTGCTCTAGGCAGCTCTTTCATAATAAGCTGTATAAGCTGTAGACCTGAGTTCCCTCACTTGGGAATTTTCTTGCTACCAGTGGAAGCACAGGTCTTGTTTCTATGTCTCTGTCTTTTTCTTTGCAGGGAGAAACATAAAGGTCATAACTTTTTAACCCAATTCTCTTTCATCTCTTCTCTGGAATCAGGAACCAATTCTTGCCTACCTTGAAGATAAATTTGTAAAGCCAACTTAATCCTTAGAGACCCCACCATACATAATTATTATACTCAAATCTTGCCTTAGTATGAGCTTAGTCTGCCTGAGCTCAAAGGTCCTCTCTGGATATCTTACTGAGATCAGTACTACATATTATTGGGAGACAAAGCCCAGCCCACAGGTTCCTTTAAGGGAATGAATCACCTGTTTAGAAATAAAACATCTTGGCTTTCATAAAGCCTCAAGACTGTGAACTCATTCAATTTACTGCTTCAAAGGTTTTTTCACTTTTTGTAGTGAAAAGGCTTTGATATGATTGAAATTTGAAGTAAAATCATCCGGTTTTGAGATAAGCTTGCTATTGCTGCTGTGGGAACTTATGTGATACTAAACAGCTAGGGATCAGTTGCTTTGGTTTTTGCTAAGTATCAGTCTCCTTGTTGAATTCAGCACCTTAAAACCCCAAAAATATTTCACTTGAAGATTGAAGTTCATTGTTCTTCTCGTGGTTTGTGATTCATATTTGTCATTATACACAAGTTAAAGAGCATCCTTTTTTCTCATGCTTTTCCCTTTTTCTTTGTTCTTCTTTTTCTCTTTCTTTCTCTTCTTCCCCTTGTACGTTCCTTCCACAAAGGGAAACTACATGGTATTGTTGAGAGAGCACTGCTTTTGAAAATCAGAGTTTTTAGCCACTGTGCCTTTGAATGATCTTAGAAAAGTCATCTCTTCTCTCTGGGCTTTTCATTTCTAAAAAGAGAGGGTGGGACTTGATGACCTTGAATGGAGCCTTTCTGTCTTCAAATTCTGAGATCAGAAGGAGCATAGGAAATAATGTAAGAGGTTGTCATGTTTTGAGAGTCTGAGAAATTCTTTTCTGCTCCCTTTTGGACTTTTCTCTTGTGTAAGAAACTTTGCAAGGAAGAGTGGACCTCTGCCATAACTAAAGTTTTATTTAGTAACAGTACCTAAACAGCAACTCAAAGCTATGAGGCTTAGTTTTCAGTCTACATCAGAGATACTTATTCCTCTGAACAGGCCTGATGATACAGCTCTTCTGACACAGAAGTGTAACCTTAGAGGCCAGGCAGTCATAGAAACTAGTTTCTCTTGAGGATATTTTTGAAGGCTTCCTGGGAAGAACAGTTTGTCAGGTACAGTTGATAGCTCTGTGATTGTGCCCTCATTTCACCAGCAAATAGAAAATTGTTTCAATTCAATCAAATAGCCTCCAACATTAGTGGGTGAGGAGGGGATTTGTTTTTTTTTTTTTTTTTCTGGGCCAGAATTCAGGAGACCAACCCCCAGCTATTGCTTGTATTTATCCGATAGTGGAGTGTTCTGATTTATGAAATCCTAACTGTTTTATCTGTCTTCATTTTTATTTTGAGCATCATTCACACTAAATAACTACTAAGGAAAATCACTTTTAAGTGAGTAGTAGTGTGTTTTCCTTGTTGATGTGTTGGAAAATAGTGTTTCTTCATTGGGGATTTTCACAGATAAAGCAATAACTTGGGTTATATTGAAAACTGACTCAAAAGGAAGAACCTTCCCTCCTCAATGTGGACAAGACCCTTTGTTCTAGAGAACCAGGTCATGTTTTCTCTTCCATATATCATTTCTCTTTTTCCATAAACCATATGAACTTTGTTTTTAGAACTTGTAAGTATTTATGAAGTTATTTTTCTCCTGCCACATCATGGCATTACTCTTAATTTTACAAGGAGCATGAGTAGGGTAACTAAGATCCTGAAAGAATGACTTTTCTTGGTATCTAAAGTATTTAGTATTTGAGTAAAAGACTGCCATACCAGATTGGTTTGCCTGACATTAGTGGTGGATAAGAGTTTTCACTTGTGTTCTTCTGACTACATGAATCCTAGCCTGAAGCAGGTACAGTTGAAATCCAAGCAGCATTTTTACTCAAAAAGAGAAGTGGTCCTTTAACAGTATGGTTAGATTCTATCATTGAAATTCCTGGCAGCCTTCAAAAACGAGTGAATATGCACACTATTTATAAATCTTTCAAATGGTATTTACTTCTTGGGGAAAAAAGATCAATATCAGCTTTTTAATAATTAAAAATGCTTATTTCTGTAATTTACTATTGATTTCTTCATTTACTCTTCAAGAGCTTGTAGAAGTTACTAAATTCTGTATTTTCTTCATGAACAACATTTTAGTACAGTGTCCTTTCACTAGTTATTACTTTTCTACATGGCCTGTCCATCATCCTGAGCACTTTCTAATTTATAGTTGGAATAATGTTGACAGCAGTGACATGTGAGACATACAATGTGGGCTTGAAATGAAGACACTGGGATATAAATTTTTTGACAGAAACATAATCTTGCCTTATTAACTTAACAAGTCTTCAGTTATGACCTGATTTGTGAAGGGGTTGAATGTTGTAGGCCTAGTAGGCTGGACTGTTGTGCAGTATCCAGCCTAGTTCTCGGTACATACCTCACACAAGTTGGCTCCCCTCCCCTCAGAAGACAAAAAAGGCTTCTGTTTAAGAGGGGAAGAATTTTGCTCTACAACGGTGTGCAAATTTACTGTGACAAAGTAAAATAAAAAAAATACAGTTAAGCTTACAACTTCTTATATCTTCAAAAAATTGTGTCAGATATTCTTTTGTTGCAATCACTTGTTTTATACAGTTTGAGTTTTAACTCACAATATTTGACAGATATTCTTCAATTCATCATGAAACCACACATCAAATCAGTCCTCTGATGAATAGTTGATTTTTTCCCTCCCAAGCCTGGCCTTGATTATATCCCTTCATTTTTCAATGGTATTGAAATACATTGTGTTCCTAGGCAGTAGAGGCATATTTATTTTCATCCCTTGAAAGAATTTCATGACTTTTCATGACCTGTGGTATGATGCAAGGCTATAATGCAGTATTCCATCTCTGGGGATTTCTGTAATTCAAGAACACATCTACTTCAATAAATCAGTATATTTGTCAAAGTTTATCATTCCCTCAGGGAATACAAGACTTCTGAGCTCAGTGGAACTAAAAAGTCCCCCAAACCTTTTTTGGGGGGGTGGTTGTTTTACCATTTGATAAAGATGCCCAGGTTTTACAGTTTCCTTGGGCTTTTTCTGATAAGAGTTTTGATATAGATTTGAATGAATAAGTGAGTTTCATCATTAAAAATTACTCTTTTCAACCTGCTGTATTCTAGGCTTTATATTTTGCCCATGACAAGCAAAAGATTGTTGTTGTTGTT